GGAGGGAGGCAGGGTAGTCGAAGAAATAATAAGCATCGAAGAGAAGAAGGGCGCATTCCTGAACTATTCGATACAATAAGTATGTGATGAAACTTTATAAAGTTTTCGAGAGGTGTTTCTGGATCCGCAGACCCCCCCCCCCCACCCTGTAATGCAGTAATGGAATGTTTCCTACAGGACTTTTTACCTCAAAGGACAAAGGCATAATCATTAAAATGGAGAAGCAGGGAGGAGTCAATATTGCAAAGAGCTGTTGTTATTCATTGTGCATGCTACAGATGGACTGTATATTAAGCGCATGGTGTTCCCATTAGAGGTCCCATTGACAGTTGTTCACACAAACCTTTTCAGCTGCTCCCAAGGTCTCTGTTACAGATCTGTCACACTCATGTAGGACACTGGAGCAGCGAGAAGAACAGAGACAGGGATATAGAGAAGTCTCTGCAGACACTGAGAAGAGGTTCTTGCATATTATTTTATGAGCGATAGTTCGTATTAATAAATGGATTGTGACATGCATGATAATTGTTCACTGTTGAGCTGTGCGGTTGAACAAAAGTTATTTCCCTAGTGGCCATCATCCTAAATTCTGTGGCTTAATGCATGCCTGTAGACATTAGCCTGACAGTCCCTGTTAAAATATTAAGACAAACTTCTTGTTAGTAACACCTTTTAAATAGTTTAATGCAGGTTTAAATATTAACATTTTGGAGGTTAAGTTATGCCTTTGCTTACATTTGTTAAGCTTGCAAAATGTATATTGTTCGTTGCCTTCTGCTTTTGCCAGGATTTCTTAATTAGTTTACCCCCAATATTATCTTCTTTGTTTAAATAAAATAAAACATAATTAATTATTTCAAGAATAAATGGCTTTCCAAACTAAACAGAGAAAATGGAAGTCAAAATGGGTCTACAGAAGGCAAAGGAGACAGCAGTGGCTCTCTGTAACACTGAAATAGATAAATGCCTCAATCCACTTTCAATCCTACTTTTGCTAAACGCATGTGGTTAAAATAAATAAATTAAACAACAATTCTTGTCTTATCGTTCGCTATAGCTGTCAGTCTCACCAGTGTCCTTTTTCTAGTAAAAATTGGTTCAAGAGTTAAACCTTTATATCCAGTTTACTTTTGAGCTCTCACAGCCCATCTCCAATGGGGCAAATCCTGCTGTCTGAAATTGGTGTGAACACCAAAACTGGAATAACAGGACAGGTCCACAGAAGCTGCCCTATTTGATGTGTTATTTTGTTACCTGGCTACATTTGGATAAGGGATTGTGTCCTTAGCACATTCAGTAAAAGTTAAATGCGCCATCAAAGCCAGCCAGTTGACATTATGCGGCCTGCCTCTTGAAAGGCGGCAAAGTGCCACAGCCAAGCCATCTGAAGCGATAGAGGATGCCACGTTTAAAGTCATCTGTTGGTCCTGAGCAGTCTGTGAATCACTCGCGGGCAGGAGAGCGCTCTTTCTGTGTGTGTGGCTGTTTATCCATCACAACCCTGAGTGCCAGAGGTGCCCTTGAAAGTCTTCTGTGCTCATACGGTATTTTCTCATCCTCTCACCTGGTTGGAGTGTTAACCTTGCAACCTGAGTGAAACAGGGGAGGGTGTAGTGGGTGAAATTGTGATTTCTAAAATATAAAAACAACAACCTCTGAAACGTGAGTGGATGTATTTAATGATAGTGGAACATATGATGAACATGTCTTTTGTCTGACATCTCTTCATTACGCTGCATGTGTGATAACCGTGAGCTTTCATTAGACACTAATGTATAATATGTTTCTAATGAATGAGAAAACGTTTTGTTGACTAGATTCTCATTCATATTGGACAACTATGAGGTACAGTGTGAGGCCGATGATGGAGGCTGCCAGTCTCTCGATGTGGTTATTTGCCTCTTTCATGAATCTCATTCCCTCCTGCACTCACTTGGGTTTCATGCACATTTTTGTTATTCCAAATCAAGAAGTGTGCGTTCTCTAAGCGGCTGGGTCAGGCTAGGGGAATCACATTAACTGACTCAGATCTGCCTCAGTGGCTTATATAACTCTCACTGTCACCGTTTATCAATTTGCAATGCTTCACATTTTATTGGAGCTGGAACGTTTTTTTCGGACTGTCACTGCTTGTTCTTACCTCCACTTTCTGTATTTTTGTTTTGTTTTTAAATATTAGGTAGCAAAAATAAGCATTGTGGGACAGCAGATTTAACCTTATCTTTCATTCAAGTGCTGTAATTTTATTCAAATAGAGAATTCCCCTTATGCATAATTTGTTAATGTTCTTTGTTGTGCAAAATATGATGATTGTACGGTAAATCTGTATTTAGATGTAATTAATGACCATATGTGAGATAATTATGAATAGCTGATCCGCCTGCCTGACCATTCCGGCATTGATTTGATTTCTTCATAGTTAACTATAGAAAAAAAGAAAAAGGCTCAGTGCTCGTTCTGTGGAAAAATAAGTGGGTATATCCCAGATTTACAGTCTTTCAAGCACAATGTTTTCCTCTGTGTTTCCTGTGACTCTACCATACAGTGAGTATATGCTTGTGTTGCTGCCATGGACTAGCATGATGAAGTGTTAAAGTCTTATTTAAGTGTTTCCAAATGTTTTAATCCTATTTTACACAGAACAAGGATTGTATGAATGTGCATCCCCAATTTTGTACAGCTACAAAAACTCCCCAAGAGTAAATATACCTGGTTTCAGGTTTGCCCATGCACCTTTTTGTTGTTGGTGAAAACAAAGACATTAAGCTTATGTTGTGGGAAATTAGCTATAGAGACTGAAAACATTTTTGTACCAGGCTGTAAATGTTCATTCTGCTATAAAAGTTGCCATTTTAACATGAAGGTTTATAGGTATTTAGTATAGCTTTTGGAGCCAGATTTTTGTGACCATTCGACCAACTACAACTTTGTTTTAAGACGCCGGAGGTTGACGCTTGGATACAAGTGGTTAATGCCATTTGGCTTAGTGGACATTGTGTCGATGTTATTTTCCCATAACCTGTCATAACAAAAACATTACAAAAAACCTGAAACTACATTAATTCAAACAAGCATCTGGTATTTCTGATGTTCTGTAGACAAACAAATATTACTAACGCACAAGGTGTCCTCCTCCAGAGTTTGCAGTGATTGTTATAAACGATCTTGTCAGCCATTGTTTTACTGTCTAATTATTTGTTGAACACGAGAAAGAAGGGCCAAACAAGCCAACAAGTGGAAAAAAAACATGACTCCATGGGTTGGATTTCCTTGTATCTTTCTTTTTTTTTTTTCTTCCCCAGACGTCACTGGTACCCCCTGCGTCCGCCACAATCAGAATCTAATTCTGCCGAAAGCACTGGAGTAAATAAAAAGTGATTTGTTTAGAGCCAGTGTGTCCGTGGGGAAGTCAATGATGTGAACTGAAGCTGGGTTTTGGTTCAGTAGGGGTGTTGGTAATTGTGTCTTTTTAATTGTGCTGCATTGTGTGAGCAGATGAGGGGGAGGCTAGTGTGTGTGTGTGTGTGTGTGTGTGTGTGTGTGTGTGTGTGTGTTTGAGTGTGAATGAGTGCATAATGCTTTGATAGTTTGGGGGTGTGTAGTGTAAATGTTAAAACGTTTTTTTTGGAATTGTCATAGCACATTTACAGAAAGTACTGTTGTGATCCTTAGAAAGCAACATTTTTATGCTGGTGCAAATAGAAATGTGTCTGTTGTTGAACACAGTTTTATGTCCTTTGACAAGGTGATAATTCTCCTTGTGAATACTACTGTGATACGATTTCAAGAGATAGCTAACACACTTAAGTGTGTAAGTGATCTGTTTTTAGCAAGGGACCAGTGTTGGGACTAACGCGTTACAAAGTAACTGTAACGCAACTACTTTTTGTGGTAACTAATAGCGTTAGTAGTTACCTATTCCCATTAAGTAACGCCGTTATAGTTACTGTGATTTAAATGTGTGCGTTACTGCGTTACATTATGTGATGGAACTGAACCGAATCTCCCTGCGGATGTAATTTACAGGCAGATACAGTGATGTCCTCTCACAGTACCATGGAAAAGTGAGAGTGACCAGAGAGGAGTGATGATTGGTTAACGCGGGGTAACATTTCAGGGTAAGCCAATCAGAGACAGAGTTGGGCGGGTCTTGCCTTATGGGGAAAATACACAGACACACATACACGGCAACGCCCACCACCAGCACACACTAGGGGTTTCACCAACTAATCGACTAGTCGACTACCTTTACCACTAGTCGGCGCTGTAGGCCCTAGTCAACTAGTCGTGAAAAAAATGGAGGTAAACGAGGTGCTGCAAAATGCTCCAAAACACGTCCGACATTCTTATGTATGGCAGAACTTCAACGAAGATGTAACCAGAGTTGGTTACATCTTCGTTGAAGTTCTGCCATACATAAGAATGTCGGACGTGTTTTGGAGCATTTTGCAGCACCTCGTTTACCTCCATTTTTTTCACGACTAGNGATGAGTGAAGATAATTCGACCAAAACTTACAGTAGAGTAACATTACCAAAACAATTTTTAACAGGAACAAACGGGCCGAAATAGTGTAGAATAAGTTTTTTTGGCAGTTATTAACTGAATGTAAGTTTTTACTTTTTACATCTGGGAAGGCATTTGGCCTTCATCAGGAATGGAAAGTGGTCTGACCAAACAACTTAGAGTATTTCTTATAGGCTATGCAGGGCATGCAAGCGAGCAAACAAGGAGCAAACAAAACAAGTGAAATGAAAGCGAATTACAATTGAAATGTACAATATATTTTGTGTTCATCTATAAATTCAGCCTAGAGAATGCCACCGAGAGCATTTCTTACAGGTAAGACCTGGAAAAATCTTACATGTTCTTAGGGGAGTTTGGCCCCCCAAACCCTTTGGTGCCATTTCGTTCCGCGCCGCATTTCAGGGCAATCCTATTGGGTTCAGGGCCATCTGGTAATTAGCTTAGATGGCCCACAGGGCCAGTCTCCCAAAAAATCCTTAATGTCATGGCACTGAGCATTCATTTGCATGGAGCAGGGTATTCAGTCCTCTGCTCAGCAAAGTTTCATTTACAATACAGGTTGGAATTAGGAATCTGTCATTTGTATTTTCAATGTAGTTTGTCCTATCTAAGTTACCTCAAGGTTAGATGTTAAAGGATCAGTAAAATATTGATTAGAGAATATTTGAAGAAATAACACCCTAAATAGTTCATTATGAGGGGAAAAAAAACAATTGGCTCTATTGGAGAGGGCAGATCTGGGATCAGGAGTAACAGGAATTGGGTGGAAAGGGGCACCTCTCGCACCTGGTCCTACAGGGCACCCTTGGTGTGTGTTCCTGTCTGGTCTGTGTGTGTTCTGTGCTGTGTGTGGTGTCTGTGTGTGGTGTGTGTGTGTGTTGTGTGTGTGTGTGTGTTGTGTGTGGTGTGTGTGGTTGTGTGTGTGTGTGTGTGTGTGGGGTGTGTGTGTGTGTTGTTGTGGTGTGTGTGTGTGTGGTGTGGTGTGTGTTGTGTGTGTGCTCCAAGATTAAGTAGGTCAGGGGCGCAAAAAAATTGACAGACCCCACACACATGGAATACCCAGGAATAATATATGGTGTGGGTCACACACATATACACACACAAATTATAAACACACATATACACACACACACACACACACCACACCACAACACACACACAAACACACCTACAAAATATCCTCTACTACACATTTTTCCGCAAATCTTCAGGTCAACATTTCCAATTGTGGTACAGTTTTGTTGTCTATTTCCTGATTGATAGTGTTCATCATTGGTAATTTCCTATGTCCATAATCTTTAGTGGCAGTATACTAGGCACATTGAGCTAACCCAATCCATTCTAATACAACATTCTGTCAAATACATCCTGCAACCTCTAAATGTTGGAAAGTTCATAGTGTTTTAAAAATTGTTTGGGTTTAAAAAGGGGCCCGCGCGGTGGTTAAGGTTTCAACGCGTGGACGATCAACTAGAGACCATCTTGCAGATAGTTAACACGTTGTGAAATCCATCAATAGGTGCTTTCCCTTCCATTGGTCTTGGCGGGGCGCTGCGCCCGCCAACGGAGCCCTGCCACGGAGGCCCTGCGGCCCCTGCCTGAAATTCAAGGTATTTTGTTTTGTTTTTTATTTAAAAAAAAAATATATATAGCACAAATTCAACTAAATGTCGTATCTACGGTCACTTTCACATAGTGGGCGGCCCCGTGCTGCTCTTTTATCTAAATAAACTTAAACGCCATGTTTTATCCAATGTGCTGTCTTCAGTTGCAATTTTGGTGCTATCATATATTTTTTTATTAAATAAAAAAACAAAAAAATAACCTTGGAATTTCAGGCCAGGCGCAGGCCTCCGTGGCTAAGGGCCCGTTGGCAGGGCGCAGCGGCCCGCCTGAAGACAATGGAATGGGAAACACTATTGATGGATTTCACAGACGTGCCTATTGCAAGATCCGCAGCTTCTTAGGTATTGATGCGTACAGGGTTGAAACCTTAACACCTTTTTAAACCCAAACAATTTTTAAAACTATGGAACTTTCCAACATTTATGATGGGTGAGGATGGTATTGCGAAGAATGTTGTATTAGAATGGATTTGGCGTTGTAGCTCAATGTGCCCTAGTATTTTACTGCCACTAAGATTATGGACCATTAGGAAATTACCAAGGAGGCAATCAGGAAACAACACAAAACTGTACCATTGGAATGTGACCTGAAGATTTCGGAAAAATGTGTAGTAGAGGATATGTTGTAGGTGTGTTTGTGTGTTGTGTGTGTGTGTGTGTGTGTGTGTGTGTGTGTATAATGTGTGTTTATAATTTTGTGGTGTGTATATTGTGTGTCGTACCCACACCATATTATTACTCCTTGCGTATCCATGTGTGTGGGTCTGTCCCACTTTTTTGCCTGACCTACTTTCTTGGAGCCAACACACACAACACACACACACACACACACACACACCACACACAACACACACACACACACACACACACAACACACACACACACACAACACACACACAACACACACACACACACACACACACACACACACAGACACACACAACACAAGCCACACACAACAGGACAGACACACACAAGTGCCCCTGTTAGGCAGGTGGAAGGGGTGCCCCTTCCACCATCTGTTACTTCCTGATCCCAGGATCTGCCCTCTCCAATCAGGCCAATTGTTTTTTTCCCTCATAATGGTAACTATTTAGGTTTATTCTTCAATATTTCTAATCAAATATTTTACTTGATCCTTTAACATCTACCGAGTAATTAGATAGGAAAACTACAATTGAAATACAAATGACAGATTCCTAATTCAAACCTGTATTTAAATGAACTTGGCTTGAGCAGAGACTGAATACTCTGGCCTCCATGCAAATGGATCTCAGTGCATGACATTAAAGGATTTTGGGGATTGATGCCCTGTGGGCCATTAAGCTAATTTACAGAGGCCCTGAACCCAATAGAGATTGCCCTGGAAAAATGGCGCTATGCGGACGAAATGGCACAAAGGGTTTGGGGGGCCTCCCCCTAGAACATTTAGATTTTTCCCAGGTCTTACTGTAGATGCTCTCTGGTGGCATTCTCTAGGCTTGAATTATAAGATGAACCACCACAAAATTATCATTGTACAATTTTCAATTGTATCTTCATTTCACTGTTTGTTTGCTCTTGTTTTGCTCGCTTGCATGCCCCTGCATAGCTATAAGAAATACTTAAGTTGTTGGTCAAGACACTTTCCATCTGATGAAGGCAAATTCCTTCCCAGATGTAAAAAAGGTAGGAAAACATTACATTCAGTTATAACTGCCAAAACAAACCATTTATTTACACTATTATGGCCCCTGTTAAAAATGTTTGTAAATGTTATCTACTGTAAGTTTGGTCGAATTAATGCTTCCTCAATCCGAAGCTGAGACGAAGCAGACCCGTAGCGCATTCATGAGCAGGGAGCCGAGCGCATTCCGCGAAGCACCAACATGGTGACGTGGAGTTCCGTTTTAGCCGGCAAATCTAAATCTCTTTCAGGTCAAAATAATTTCCCTTTAGCGCAATACCGCTTCAGTTGCAGCCACTTATGTGACAAGACAAGAAGAGTATGTGACAGACAATAATAGCCAATTCTAATGTCTAACACGTAATGTGGAGAAAGAGATGTCCTGTCTGGTTGATTGTGCGTTGATCTGTTGGTTAATGCCTCTGGGGGCTCCGGTGGGCATGTAAACAAATGCATAATGGCTGCGCTATTACTTGTGAGGCCTCACCCGGTTGCATCGACACTTATTGTTTAGGGTGTCTTATAAGCAGGTAGTCATATCATTAGCTAGAACTAGCTGGATCTGATCGATATGGACATTAACGCGCAGTGAAGTCTATCTGACGGGAGAGAAGATCAGCCTGCTGCTGACGGAGTCGACATGCAGCTCTGCATGATCACATGCGGTGAAGCGGACAAACACACACTTTCAGGTTAGAATTATCACCGTTAGCTATTTTTTAATTACCTATCAAACTACCTAACTAGTTTATAAGGATATGTTTTATTTTACTGTCGGGGTCACCCAGGGATCCGCGAGCTGGCATGATACTGGGGCATAATAGATTGCCCGATCGGGGCAACAGCCAGCGTGAGGCTTTATTTGCCGAGCTAATACTAGATGGCCCCCGGGGCCGGGATCGGGGCAGTCCCTTAATGTCGAGCCCTGGATCTTATTCTGTTATCCTCAAACAGAGACAACTTCTTTGACACATCCTTAATCATTTGACATTCAAAAGGACACACCTCTGTTCAAAGCACTGGAAACAAACAGGATTGGTGCTCTTTCTGGGGTATGTGTTATATATGGGAAGTAAAACAGAGTTAATGAACAGTTAGCAACTCAAGGTTCCATTACAAAATTAAATGCCGATTTTTCAATTACATTTCTGAATATTGCAGAAAATGAGATCTTTGGCAAGTGCAGGTTTGTGATACATAGTTATTTTCAGCAGGATATCTCCAACATTTATCAACACTTTTATAATGTTGGTGTCAATGCATTGACATAGGCAAAGAAGCTTAGTTTATAAACAAACTACTGACTTCATGTCACCACCGCTAAGCTAAAGGTGGCCAAATTTTCGGGAGTGAGGATGTTTAATAGTCTTCATTTAGTCAATTCTTTTAGGAAACAAATTGTGATGACCCAAAAAAAGCTTCAGACATTCACTACATATTTATCTTGACATATTGTACCGTCGACGAACAAAACGTGCAAGTCTCTTCAGTTGTGTTAGCCACAGGCCTAAGTTTGGTGTTCCAACCAAAAATATTATATAAAAAAGCGTTGACTTAGGAGGACAATGGAATAGGAAGTTTAAGGCAAACTCCATTTTCTGGGTTTTAGGACCTCATTCCTTCATCAATCTATTATATAGGTTAAAAAGGGAA